AAATCATCTCCATTGTTAGCCAGTTGTACACATGTTATGAATTGTCCATTATAACATGTATATAGCTGTTGTCCCCTTCTTACCGCAGAAAGGTGAAATAAGCAATATAAGTCAATTTAAAAAGATAAAAGCACTCTGTTTACGGAGTAAAATTCTATGTACAACATTCAAAAGTACAACATTTTTCACCAGAAGGAGCGTCAGACCTAATGTCAAACATGAAGCAGTCCTCGATTTCATCCGGGGGAAGGAATGGTAGCCCAAAAAAATTGCGATAGCCATTTACAGTTTCACTTGATTTGTCTTTATACTCTGCTTATACTTAGCCCAACAGACTGGATTTTCCTCCAACAGTTCTGTGTTAGATGAAAACGACAACAGTATATTTGCAGGGACAACAGTTATATACATGTTATAATTGACAATTCATAACATATGTACAACTGGCTAACGGAAGAGGTTTATAATGATAAATAAAAAAATAACATTCGCCTGTAATTTACCTGTGTACAATCGGCGCAAATGAAAGAATCAAATCGGAGCATATGAAAGATCGAAACTTTTTTTAAATCGGCGCAAATGTCATACGCCCATTACTACGGCGTTGAATTGATAACCTTTAAGAATAATTTCATTCAAAGGGGTTACATGGATTTTCATGTTTCCTAATATCTTAATTTACGGATGTTGTCAATATAGAAATAAGGAGATGTGGTATGATTACTGGCGCCGAACCCTCCCCTAACCTAGGATAGTGGTGTAACAGTAAAGCATAAGAAAAAACCATAAAAATCAGTTGAAAAGGGCTTTACACATCAGATCGATACAAAGCAGGAAACATCTAACAAAAACAACATCACCCTAAAAATTAGGATGTCCTATCCTGTTTGTGACAAGAATTCTACAGTTTTAGCCACACGTCCAACCAAAATCTGTGTTTCTATGAAAGAATCTAGCAAAAGAAAAAGTTTGAAGTAATTTGTGGAAATGTTTCTGACTTAATCAATATCCCAGTTATACGAAGAAACTATTTTCCTTTTATACAAAGATAACCGTAGTTTATAAATTTTGACCTCTATAGTGGAAGTCAATGATAGAGGGTTAAAATTTAAACTACAGTTATTGTAATATCGTAGTAATATGGGAGAGAGCAAAAACACTTTAAGTAAGTGAAAATTAAAGCCCAAAGAAACATTTAGAAAAAAGGGGGTGGTCCATTCACCAAGCGCCTGTGCTCTAGATCTCAGTGCGTAGTGTTGAAGGGATCTTTTACGTGCATTTCATGCTATATATAGGAAGGGATACGTATTTGGCCACCCAAACAACCCCTTACTCCACAGGATTAATAATAGAAGCACAAATAATGATTGTTTGGGTTTTAGAAAAGGCTATAGCACAACTGATAATATTTTCACTTTGTTTACGCTTTAATTTCTTTCTACCAGTCACTTGGCAAAAACTATACTGTACATTTGTGGATTGTTCCAAGGACAATCGATACAATATCTAGAGACTCGTGGTGGATTATACGTTTCACAATGCAGATATAATTGGAAAAAAATTCAAAGTACTGAACAGTTTGTATGATCATGTCCAATCCAAGCAGCAAAGAATGTTCCGATTCTTTAGGTGTGACATCGGAGTAATCCAAGGAGAGAATTTGTCTCCTTTTCTCTTTGCATTTTATCTAAATGACCTAGAAGATTTCTTTATTCAAAATGATAGTAATATATATATATATATATATATATATATATATATTATTGTTTATTACCAGTAGTACTCATTAACATTGTATGAATTGACTATATAATAATGTATTCTTTTTGTCATACCCATCATTGCATTGTGTTGTTTGTATACATGTAAATATTATATTCCTAATGTTTCACATATGTAATGTGTCTTCTTAATTGATCAAATAAAGTCTTAGACTGTCTTACCGGGAAATGGGAAAGGGGTGTCGTATCTCTGAGTCAGAGAAACTGGATCAGAGAAACTGGATCAAATTTCTGTATTCCGGATTTCCTTGAGGGATTTCAATATCTGTAGTTCTAAAACTTTTTTTTAAGCGAGTAAAATTGGAGGCAAGGATTTTCAAAAATGTGCAATTTCCATCATGCAAATGATGTGATAAACCATGCCATGTTTATGTTTTTTCTTTCTTTCTTTCTTTCTTTTCTGAATTATAACAACTGTGAGCAACTGTAAGACTGTGCTCCTCTTCTTGCCAACTTGTTCCTTTATTCACATGAGACTGACGTCATACAGAAGCTTATTATATATAGGAAGAATGAAAAGAAACTAGCATTATCCTTTAACTTCACTTTCCGCTATATATAGATGATGTCCTCTCACTACTTTATAAAATAATTCAAAGAATGGTGACTATGTTGAACGCATCTATCCCATCGAACTTGAAATAAAGGATACAACAGATACAGTCAAGTCTGCCTTATATCTTACATCTAGAAATTGACAATAAGGGTCGATTGAGAACATAACTTTCTGACACAAGTGATGATTTCAGCTTCCCAACTGTGAACTTTCCATTTCTATGTAGCAACAATCTAATTAAGATATAGAACTCCGATTTCGTTATACTTCATAAGAGTATAACGAAATCGGAGTTCTATATTTTAATTAGATTGTATGTAGCAACATTCCAGCAGCACCTGCATATGGAGTATATATTTCCCAGTTGAAACGATATATTCCAAGGCTTGCATTTCCTATCATGATTTCCTTGAGATAGGATTGCTGATCACAAGGAAGCTATAAAACCAAGAGTTCAAAGTAATGAAGTTGATATCAACCCTTCACAAATTTTAAGGACGCCATCATTAGTTGGTTGACCGTTATGGAATATCTGTTTTACAGATGACGACGGAAATGTTCAAATTGTCGTAACCACAACCCCATCCTCTTTTCCCCGAATGTGACCTACCGAATAGGACTTCGACTGGTGCCACATGTGAAGTAGGATCTGCTTACCCTTCCGATGCACCTGAGATCACCCCAGGGTTTTGGTGGGGTTCGTGTTGCTCATTCTTTTGTGTTGTGTTTTGTATACTGTTGTTTGTCTTTTGGTCAATATCTTTTTTTGTCATGGCGTTGTTGGTTTATTTTCGACCAATGAGTTTGAATGTCCTTTTGATATCTTTGGCCTCTCGTTTAACACAAGCAAGCTTACTTTCTTTGTTTAACCTTTTGTTATTCCATTTAGAGCCACATTGTGTTTTTATATTTTGAATTAAATTTCTTTAAATTTCAAGACATTTAACTTATTTTATGTGTCCTTGTTCGTTCTCATCATGCAAACAATCTTAGAATAACAATAGAATATTCGTGCTGCTCCTCTTCTATACTTATATTTCAATTATTAAAACAATCTGATATTTACACACACCACACCAAAAATAGAAAAGAAGAAAAAGGGAGTCCATACCCATCACCTGTGATTAAACTGATCGAGATTAAAAAAGGGATGCCTTATTTCTAAAATAATAAATGCATTGGAAAAGGGGTGAGGTGCGTCCAGTTATACGGAAATATTTTATTTATATATATTACAATGTTCTTGGTTTTTTTTATCCATTTGTAATTTGTTTTGTTATAGAGGGCCTATATACTCATTCAAAATGAATAACAACATTGTGGGCGATGCGCCAATGAGACAGCAACCTAACGACAGGTTTAACCAATAGAAAAATAGTAAAGGGTAGCACATAGGCTTTAACAATAGACAGATGTCTAAAAATTATGTCACTGTCTAAGTAGTCCCAAGTCTATAAAAGTTCAAAATAAATTCAACAGAAACAATCAAAAATAAATTCAGTGATTGTCATTTGTTGCTGTATATCATATTTGTTTTTCGTGTATTTTCTTTTTACAAAAATTAGACCGTAAGTTTTCTCGTTTGGATTGTTAAACATTTGTCATGTCAGGGCCGCTAATCGCTTGCTATGCGATATGGGTTTGCTCATTTTTAAAGGCCGTACGGTGACCTATAGTTGCAAACTTATACGTCGTTTGGTCTCTGATGGAACGTTGTCTCATTTACCAAGTGAGTTTTAATATCAACGTTTAAAATGGACATTGGTAATCAATGGTCAGTGGTTTAGTAAGAATGAATAAATTGCATTTGTATACGTTTGGAAAAATTAGGATTGTTTAAAAAAATCTACCATCTTAGATCATCTAAATACATGTATCTTCTGATATTGTTAAATGTTTTTTTTTGTTTAGTGGTTTGGTGTTTAGTGGTGACCTTTATGAAACTTTGCCATAAATAAGAACTCATATTTGTTTTTCGTTCATTGTTTTGTACACAAATCAGGCCGTTAGATTTCTCGTTTGAATTGTTTTACATTTATCATTTCGGGCCTTTCATTATGTGTTGGTTTTGCTCATTGTTGAAGTCCCCCCTGTTAGATCATTCACCGTTAGCAACAGTATAAAATCTGAAGACCCAAAACATGAGTAGTTTAACAATTACTAGTTGAAGACATCAAACGTAATAAATAAAGTTTCTTGCAGTTTTTAGGAAGTCAATACATAGTGGGAACATTGTTGTGTTCAGCAGCAACTTTCAATTCAGTCATTGTTGAAGCATGCTCATCTACGAACTTATCATTAATAAAGTTGTGCTTGTTTTGAACATGTAATGTTCTTACTATTAAAGTTGCTTGTTTTAACATTGGTTGTAAGAGTTTTTCGCCTTTTAAACATGAGTGTCACTTTACTTTATGCATGCATGATCAAAGGACTGCTGTTGTTGGTACAATACTCCTGTGAGTTAAAAACAAAAAGATAACCGAAGGCAAGGCACACAAAGTAAAATCTTGTGATCACTGTTTAGTGGATTAATTAACATTAAAACGGACAAGATATTTTATAACATGTAGACTATAAAGTACATACGGGACATATACGTTATTTAAAGTGTCATTTGATGTATTCCAGGTATAATATTGCATATTTATAAAGCTCATCAGGTGTCTCAGTCAGGTGTAAGATGCGTTTTGTACATATATGAAAATAAATTAGTTTCAAAGTGACATACTAAGATGACAGTGTATAATGGATGCGAGGCGTTAAATATATGTGTTTTTTCTTACCTTTTGTGTATTATGTGAAATTATACGAATTATTAAGGAGGATTGGTAGGACTTTATTAAAACTTAAACCTACACATTTTAAAATGTTGTTAAGACTCAATGTGAAGGTGACAAGTTGACAATTAACACATTACATGGCATCATGGTAAATTCACTCGAAATGGCAAGGAAATGATGGTTATACATGGATTATTTAAATACTTCAGAACTGTGAAATAAATGTTAAGCAGGTAACTTGACACATTAAAGATTTTTGTTAAATAAAGAGGAACTATAAAATTTCAGAAAGGGAAATTCAAGCTAACACAACATGTTTTCTTCACAGATGGTTGGTGGTGCTAAATACATCGGTGGGCTATCTAAATCTGTAGCCTCTAGTGTCTGGAGCTTTTTTCGGACTAGCCAGGAAGAGGTAAGATCGTGTCGTGGATTTCTATTTTTATTAGGATCCTTGATTCTTAAAAGGGGTGGGGGGAAGCGGGCCACCAAACTAGACAAAATTTGGGGTGGTATAGTAAAAAGTCTGGATTAACCATAAATATAGCTCCATAAGGGGGATGGGGCCGTGCACTCCCCCTCCCAAATCCGCCTCTGAGGAGTATCGTCAAAAATCATTCAGATATATAGAGTATATATCAGAAAGATTTGACAACATATTTTCTAATGTTAATAAGACAGTTCTATATATATATATATATAATAATGGTTTACTTTTATAAATCTTGACTTGGATGGAGAGTTGTCTCATTGGCACTCATACCACATCTTCTTATATCTATATATATATATATATATAGCTTGTATCACAACATGAGGATGGTTGGATTGGTTCTAATGTCAAGGACACCATAGCACTGTCAGTGTTTTGCATATTTTTTAGAATCTGTATGACCTGGAACATAAAATTAAAAGTATGTTCATAGGAAATGATACAAAGAGGCAGGACTATAATTTCTCAAGATTTAATTTAATTCCCACTATGATATGTTTTATATATCCTTTAAATCTTTACTCAATTTAACATTACCACAAAATCGTCTTATAGTGTACCATAAGGTTGTAACAACAAGTAATGTGTTTTATTCCCACTGATTTTTTTTTCACACCTGGACCATTTTTAAAAAGCTCTCCAATCTTTTTTAAAATTTAGAGGCACTATACTATAGATTCAAATGTGTATTTCAATGCTACAACACATTTTGGTGTATTTGAAAATTTCGAACATGTGTCCGAAATATAAATGCATATAAAGATTGCTCGATAACTGCAATTTTGACAGAATTTGTAAAATGCAGAGTATTCAAAAACATGTCTAAGAAGGACAATCTTAGTCAAACCTAAATTTCTATCGGAAGTAAAGGTATATATTGTCCTTCGTATACAAAATAATTCAGGTTGGTAATAGACGTCCTTCGTTACAAATTTATAATAAAAACCGTAAAATTTGCCATATTGTCTTCAACAGCAATATGCAGCACACCAAATTATTTTTTAATTATATTGAAATATGTGAAATTGATAATTTTTGGGAGACCAACGGTATAGACATACATATTACTAGCAAAGTACATGCAGTAAGTTTTTAGGTATTTTAAAATAAGCAAAATAAAGCATAAAAAACATAAAATGTAGACACACTGACATTCATGAAGTAAGTCGCATTAAAGGAATTTAAAGCATCTCTATCAAGTTTAAAAGTTATGCAACAAAAATGTAAATGCCAGAGTATGTAAAGGTAAATATAAATTATACACCTCACTAAGATCTAAAGATGGAACACTGTTACAGGAATATGGCAGGTGTTATCTAATAGTTCGTTTCTATGAATGTTGCATTGATGTTTGTATATTGTTGCACTTCTGTGTTCTGTTATTTCGTTGTTTTCCTCTTACAGTTGATGTGTTTCCCTCGGTTTTAGTTTGTAACCCGGATTTGTTTTCCCTCAATCGATTTATGACTTTTGAACAGCGGTATACTACTGTTGCCTTTATTTACGAGCTGCCCTCCAAATTCCAAACCAAACTTTCAAATTGACCCAAAAGGTATTTTTTTCATGATCTTATTCGGCAGCTCGTTCCAGAGTTTGGCTCTTGCATATCTGAATGAGTGCAGCTCTGTAAATATCAGCAATTTTGTCAATTCTGAAAGAATAGCTACGTACCCTTTTTTTATTTCGTTAAGGTCATGTAAATACATTGGACATTGTTTATTTTACAATTGTGTATACCTCTATTGCTGCCATTCTTAGTCTACTGATTTTTAAACTTGGTAATTTTGGTTTAGTTATAAGTATGTGCTACAATACTCCTCATGAATAAATAATAAGGCATGTTCCTTATTTTCTCCATTTTTCATGTATTACAATTACTACAAAGATGCCACACAAGTGGACAGTAATTACAATTTGCCATGATTATAAATATTAGATATGAGACGCTTTATTTTAATTCGGCACACACAAGAAAATTGCAAACATAATCTTTGGAGAGCTTCTAAAACCGACAAACCAAAAACACATAGAACATTTCATATTAACACATTAACACATTAACACATACAATTTAAACACATAGAAAGCAAAAATTCAAAGTATGCATACATATGACACAAAGATTCAATGAAGCAGCTTAAACACACACATTGAATTATGCATTTAAAGGATAAAAGACAAAAGCAAACGTTAAACGGTTGGCAACATTAAAAAGCTGATAGAGATAAGTTATTTATATAAATAACTGAAAGAAGATTAGTTAAACAACTAAACTAAACGAATAGTAAATAGTAAATCTACCTAATTTCGTTAAATATTTTCCAATACGTTTATAAAATTCAGTGATTATGAGATCAAAATAAAACATTTCCCAACATAAAACTGGAATTGACCCCGCGTCTAATGCCAATTTTATCGATGCAAACACCGGCGTTTTGCATTTGCGCCGATATGCATTTCATTTGCGCCGATTTTTTCTTTCACTTGCGCCGATTTTTGCTTTCATTTGCGCCGATTGTGTACAGGTAGAATACAGGTGAATGTTATTTCTTATCATTATAAATCATCTCCATTGTTAGCCAGTTGTACACATGTTATGAATTGTACGAATATAGTCCCTAGTGTGGACAGTGTGTTACTTGTCGATTTTTTTTATACCCCTTCCAAATTTATTTCTCCATGTTTTATGACTCAAATAGTAAGTAGGGGGGTGAAATGACACTGTAAAAAAATTTGGGTCATGAATTTTAAAGTAAAGTAGTGATTTGGTCCAGCTGAAAAATGTTAAAAATTAGCACTTCGGAAGCTGTCAAAAGATTTGAAGACCCCCTTAACATGAAATTGTCCATATTTTGAGTTAGAGCCGATGAAGTTTTCTATAATTTTGATATAATTTGTCCCAAAAGTAGTACAACACACTGTAAAAATATTATTGAGAAAGCGCAGGTGGGATTTTTTTAATTTTCATTTATGGTCTAAAAGAAATGCACTACGAAATAACTGTGTACTCGGACCATATAGCTGTTGTCCCCTTCTTACCACAGAAAGGTGAAATTAGCAATATTAGTCAATTTAAAAGATAAAAGCACTCTGTTTACGGAGTAAAATTTTATTTACAACATTCAAAAGTACAACATTTTTCATCAGTAGGAGCGTCAGACCTAATGTCAAACATGAAGCAGTCCTCGATTTCATCTGGGGGAAGGAATGGTAGCCCAAAAAATTGCGATAGCCATTTACAGTTTCACTTGATTTGTCTTTATACTCTGTTAATACTTAGCCCAACAGACTGGATTTTCCTCCAACAGTTCTGTGTTAGATGAAAACGACAACAGTATATTTGCAGGGGACAACAGTTATATACATGTTATAATTGACAATTCATAACATATGTACAACTGGCTAACGGAAGAGGTTTATAATGATAAATAAAAAATAACATTCGCCTGTAATTTACCTGTGTACAATCGGCGCAAATGAAAGAATCAAATCGGCGCAAATGAAAGATCGAAACTTTTTTTAAATCGGCGCAAATGTCATACGCCCGCAAACACGCTTAAAATTGGATGTGTACTGATTGATTTTTTTAAAAGTCTAATATGAGCATCAAATTAAAGTTGGTAATCAATAGTTACACTAATAGTTTAACTTCTTTTTCACTATATACAGTATTGTCATCTCAATTATAAGTTAGATATATTTTTATTTTCATTTTTGTCGAGCCTTCGACTTTTGTCGAAAAAGCGAGACATAGCGATCCTACATTCCGTCGGCGTCGTCGTCGTCGTCGTCGTCGTAGTCGTCGGCGGCGTCCACAAATATTCACTCTGTGGTTAAAGTTTTTGAAATTTTAATAACTTTCTTAAACTATCCTGGATTTCTACCAAACTTGGACAGAAGCTTGTTTATGATCATAAGATAATATTCAAAAGTAAATTTTGTAAAAAAAAATTCCTTTTTTTCCGTATTTTACTTATAAATGGACTTAGTTTTTCTGCCAAGAAACATTACATTCACTCTGTGGTTAAAGTTTTTGAAATTTTAATAACTTTCTTAAACTATCCTGGATTTCTACCAAACTTGGAAAGAAGCTTGTTTATGATTAAAAGATAGTATCCAGAAGTAAATTTTGTAAAAAAAAAATTCCATTTTTTCCGTATTTTACTTATAAATGGACTTAGTTTTTCTGCCAGTTAACATTACATTCACTCTGTGGTTAAAGTTTTTAAAATTTTAGCAACTTTCTTAAACTATCCTGGATTTGTACCAAACTTGGACAGAAGCTTGTTTATGATTAAAAGCTAGTATCTAGAAGGAAATTTTGTTAAAATTTTGTTCAATTTTTTCTGTATTTTACTTATAAATGGACTTAGTTTTTCTTCCAGTTAACATTACATACAGTCTGCAGTTTAAGTTTTTTAAACATTTATTAGATTCATAAACTATCCTGGATTTGTACCAAACTTGGACAGAAGCTACTTACAATATAGAAAGGAATATTTTATTAATTTTTTTCCTCATTTTTGTTGAGCCTGAAATTAACAGCAAAAGTAGGCGAGACACTGGGTTCCGCGGAACCCTTACGAATTTTTCTTATTATTGCCTGAAACTTGTCAGGGTTGGCCTTGATATGATTTACACTGAAATCAATTGATAAGCTCGACTAATTTAAGCTATTTTTTCTAAAGTATTTATGAAATATAATACGAAGATGTGGTATGATTGCCAATGATACAGCTCTTCACCAGAGACCAATGATGGTAGTAGCTAGCAATTATAGGCCACCGTATGACCTACAACATTGAGAAAAGCCCATACCGCAAAGCAAACTATATAAAACACATGGCATTTGTCTCTGAAACAAATTTATCTATATACTTTAATATATAGGTTTTTTTTTTTTTTCAGAGACAATTGCCTGT